TGATGCTGATGCTGATGCTGATGCTGATGCTGATGATGATGATGATGATGATGATGATGATGATGATGATGATGATGATGAGGGGAAGGAGGAGGAGAGGAGGACGAAGAGCAGGGAGAGGGAGGAGGGAGAGGAGGTGGAGGAGGTCGAGGAGGCCGAGGGTAGAGGAGGAAGGGGGATGAGGACAACGACCAAGAGGAGGAGCAAGACGGAGCGAAGCAACCAAATGGCCCATCGTTCTGGACCCCTCCCGTCCAAATCGAACATTACTGAGTTCCAGCCGTATTCCTCGATTGCCTGGCAGGCAGGAGACGACGACGATGACGACGACGACGACGACGAGGACGAGGACGAGCACGAGACGACGGCGTCGACGACGGCGGCGGCGACGACGACAACGAAGGCAGCACGACAGCGACGACGGCGGCGGCGGCGAGGACGGCGGCGGCGACGGCGACGGCGACGGCGACGGCGACGGCGACGACGACGACGACGACGACGACGGCGACGACGACGAGGACGACGACGACGACGACGACGACAACGCCGACGACGGACGGCGGCGGACTGCGGCGGCGGCGGCGACGACGACGGCGGCCGACTACGATGGCGTCGACGGCGGCGGCGGCGGCTGCAATGGCGGAGGCCCTCGGCGAGGAGTCGCCGCGGCGGTGGTGGGTGCCGAGCCGAGCGGCCCATGCCGGCGGCACTGTCCCTCTCTTGGACGGGCGAGGTGGGGGAGGAGCAGCAGCAGGAAGAGGAGAAGGAGGAGCAACGGGAGGAGGACAGGGGAGGAGGAGTAGGAGGAGGAGGAGAAGGAGGAGGATGAGGAGGAGGAAGAGGAGTAATAACGCTCCATGCTGCTGCGTTAAGTCCGCGCAACATCAAAAGGAGGAGGAGGAGGAGGAGAAGCCAGTAGGAAGAAGCAGGGACGGAAGAACAGGAGGAGTTGCAGGAGGAGGAGAGGAGAGGACGGACGATACTGGATGATACGGGGAGGAAAGGGAGCAGGAGGTTCCGCGCGAGGGGGGTGTGCGGCAGCAGGGAGGCGGGGAGGAGGAACAGCAACAGACGCAGAAGCAGCAGAAGCAGGATCGGGAGGATCCGAAGGAGTAGAAGGAGGAGGAGGAGAGGCGTCCGCATGCCGACGACGACGGGGAAGAGGACCCTACCGAGGCCGCTGGATGCATGCAACATTTACCTATGCAAAACATCCTGCCTCCCACAGAAATAGAATTCCACTGGGCATGATACGTCGAGCATCTGCCAGCGGCGGAGGAGGAGGAGGAGGAGGAAGAGGAGGAGGAGGAAGAGGAGGAGGAGGAGTCGGCGACCCTGGACCCCCGTGGGAAATCTGACAAGCTCAAGAGCTGCATGATCTGATGGTGGGAACGCCTCACAGCCGCAACGCAACATGGCGCAGCATCCGAGACGGACGCGGAACTCCTCCTCTATCTCCCTCTATGTCTCTCTCTCTCTCTCTCTGTCTTTCTGCCTTTTGTTGTTTCTCTCTCTCTCTCTCCCTCTCCCTCTCTCTCTCTCTCTCTTTCCACACTCACACACACACGCACTCTCTCTCGCTCTCTCTCTCTCTCTGTATATATATACACATATATATACGCATATGTATCCTCCAAGTCAAGTGCGCGTAACATTGAAACAAGACTCAAACAACGCTGGTCAAGAACACGAGCCCCTTCGCCGCCGAAGGCACGATGCTCCATGTACGGAACAGTCGTAGGTAGGGATCCCAAAAACGAAGGGCATGCAGGAGCCCATCCAAAGCTAGGGCTGCTCTTCACCCTCGTTTTGCCAGCATCAGGCCCGCATGCTTCGATAGGTCAAACGTCGCCGCCAGCTGCGTGCGCACACCCACACACACAACGCACATACACACACACACACACACACACACACACACACACACACACACACACACACACACAAATACGGGCGCACGCACGCACGCACGCGCGCACGCACGCACGCACGCACGCATTCAACGCACAAACTCTCAAGTCGGCTGCACCGAAGGGCCCCGGGGCGCGGTGGGCAGGTGGAGGTGCCAATGGCGAACGAACTCTCAGTCGAACGCACGGGGATGACAGGATCCGATCACGGCCATGCAAAGCGGTTGTGGACAAACGGGAGGCGCTGTACAGTCGGCCTCGATTGGACAGGACACGCGAGAGGACACAAGGCCCTTCTGAGGGCCACATCGTCACAGGAGTGTAAGAAGGCACGTGTCGCGAGGCACAGGACACAAGGGCATACCCTTGATCTGGCAGGGTCGACCTACCAATATGGGCCACCTGCAAAGCCAAAAAGCAGCGGGGCCAAAGAACCCGCGTGACGAGAGCTCGACGTGGGCAGTTCGCAGCGCAGATAGCAGCCAGGTGCAAATGAACGTCTGTGGAGGTAACGAAAAAAAGGCTGCAAGGCTGCCTGACCAGTGGAGGTAACGGAAAAAAAGGTTGCAAGGCTGCAAGGCTGCAAATGAAAGTCTGTGAAGGTAACGAAAAAGGCTGCAAGGCTGTGGAGGTAACGAAAAAAAGGTGGCGGTGCATACGCGCAGGGGAAATGCGCGAAAAAGCAACGCCACTGACCCTGCAGCGGGCAAGAGCCACTTGAGGCGACCGTGCAACAAGTGTGAGAGGCCGGCGTGACGAAGATGATCACGCGGCCGAGGCTGGCATAGCCTTGGACAACAAAAACAGAGCTGAACGCGGGCGACCGCAATCAGCAACCGCGAGACGTGGTGGCGCCCGTGGGTGGTGGACAGGCGAGAGCATGGCCACAGTGCAGACGCCAGCGTTGAAAGGGCAACCCCAAACGCAACCAAAACTGCGAACAGCTACCATGAAGGCAGGTGAAAGCAGAAGCAAAAGATGGGGGACCACCTAGCACAAGAGAGACTGTACGCGTCACCGCAAAGGTCGCACCACTCCGACCAAAAGGCGACGAAGAATAAAAGAGGACGAGCAATGCGAACCCGCCGACAGGATACGCCAGACTGAGGCAAACCCCCGCGGTGGGGACGACCCGGAAGAAGAGAAGGGGAAGGGGGGGAGAGCAGCAAAAGCAAAAGCAAAAGCAAGAGAGGATCCCGGAGAGACGACGGCGGAAGACCCCACGACACGGCCGACCCGCGACAGACCGACGACGGCGAGGCGAGCGACCCCGCGACCCAAGTGGAGGATGGGACCAACGAACCACCGCGGAGAACGCTGCCGGCAAAGCAAGCTGACGTACAGCTCAAAGGCCATCAGGAGCAGCGAGCTGCAGCCCCGGGTACGGATGCGCATACCCAGGTGCGACGCCAGGAAGCAAAAATCTCAACACACAAACACGCACACACACACACACGCACACACACATACGCACTTTTTGGCTGCATGCGGCTTGGGAAAGGAGCCTCGCGAGCGTTCGCTGGGATGAAAGCGGGCAACCGAACAAGAAAAGCATGCCGAAAGCTGGCCGGCAAAATTCGGGCGATCAGGGGCCAGCGAAACGAGGGCAAGGGAGGCCAAGCAATGCGGAGAGGGAAGCGAGGAGCGAGGAGCGACAGCCCAGGGGGGGAGGAAATGGGCACGACACGAGGGACAGCGGGGAAGAGGAAGCCGAGGGGGAGAAGGGAGACACCACACCACAAAAATTATCCCAGTGCGACCCTACCTAGGAGTTGGAGCCCCTAGGAAAGCAGCATTAGTAGTAACAGTAAAGCTAAGCTAAAGCTAAGCTGCAGCTAAGCTGCAGCTAAGCTACAGCTAAGCTAAAGCTAAGCTAAAGCTAAGCTAAAGCTAAGCTATAGCTAAGCTAACGCTAAGCTAACGCTAAGCTAAAGCTAAGCTAAAGCTAAGCTAAAGCTAAGCTAAAGCTAAGCTAAAGCTAAGCTAAAGCTAAGCTAAAGCTAAGCTACATCTAAGCTGCATATAAGCTTAAGCTAAGCTAAAGCTAAATATAAAGCTAAGCTAAAGCTAAGCTAAAGCTAAGCTAAAGCTAAGCTAACGCTAAGCTAACGCTAAGCTGAAGCTAAGCTAAAGCTAAGCCAACGCTAAACTAAAGCTAAGCTAAATCTAACTAAAGCTAAGCTAAAGCTAAGCTAAAGCTAAGCTGAAGCAAAGCTAAAGCTAAGCTAAAGTTAAAGCTAAGCTAAAGCTAAACTAAAGCTAAGCTAAAGTTAAGCTAAAGCTAAGCTAAAGCTGAAGCTAAAGCTAAGCTAAAGCTAAGCTAAAGCTAAGCTAAAGCTAAAGCTAAAGCTAAAGCTAAAGCTAAAGCTAAAGCTAAAGCTAAAAGCTAAAGCTAAAGCTCCCAGGGGACTGGGGGAACCGCGGGGCGGGGACTGGGGGAACCGCCCGCGGCGCTTAGCACTGCCCGGCCCCTTTAAGCTAAGAGAGTAAGAACCCTCTAGGCAGAGCCTAGGTAGGGAACAACACACACACACACACACGCACGCACACACGCACGCACGCACGCACACCCACACACACAAGACACACACAAGACACACACAAGCACAACACACACGCACAACACACACAGACAAGCACAACACACACGCACAACACACACAGCACACATCACACATATCACACACACACACAGTTTCCCCTCACGGCCGGCTGCTCTGGCGCAGCAAGCTATGGGGCGGGACACGCCTGGATCAATTACCGCCGAGCCTCTGCCGGTGGATGGTCAGGACGTGGCCGACGCGTGCAGAGCGAAAAGGGGGCCGTCAGCCAGTGCACGTGGAGGCTGACGGCATGCAGCGGGGTGCGGACGTGCCGCCAGAACACTGCAGGAGCGGCCCAGGGGAGCCACCGGCCGCGATTCGCCGCAAGAGTGCGGAGCGGGCGAAACGGAGGCAGGGAGGCGACTGCAGCGGTGAGGGCGAAACACCGAAGCGTGGCCAACCAGGTGGACGGCCCTGCCGGACAAGCCGACACACACACACACACACTTTGTGGCATCGCGGCCACGCGCGGCGCGGCGCGGCGTGAGCGACACGCACGCACGCACGCACGCACGCACGCACGCACGCACGCACGCACGCACGCACGCACGCACGCACGCACGCACGCACGCACACACACACACACACACACACACACACACACACACACACACGCGTCTAGCGTCGCGGCAGCGCCAGCGAACCAGCGATGTCTGCGAGCACACACACACACACACACGCAAAGGCACTCACGCGCGCAAGCCTTTCCGACATTCCGTTCTGCCCTGTCCGTTCCCCCATCCGTCTCCATCTGCAGGGAAAGAAAGCACGCTCTTGCCTTGGGGAGGTCCGTCCGGAACAGCTCGCAGTGCACCCTCAGCCGAGGAGAAAGGGCTCCAGGGTGCGACGGGGAGTAAGGTTAGGTCGGGCTTGTCCCCTAGAGGGGGGTTTTGGACGAAAAATAAAAAATAGTCAAAAAATGCCCCCAAATGGTCAAACAAATACCCCAGTGCGACCCTACCTAGAAGTTGGAGCCCCTAGGAAAGCAGCATTAGTTGCTATGCTATGCTATGCTATGCTATGCTATGCCATGCTATGCTGCGCTATGCTATGCTATGCTATGCTATGCTATGCTATGCTATGCTATGCTATGCTATGCTATGCTGCGATATGCTATGACATGCTATGCTATGCTATGCTATGCTATGCTATGCTATGCTACGCTGCGCTGTGCTGTGCTGTGCTGCGCTATGCTATGCTATGCTATAATATGCTATGCTATGCTATGCTATGCTGCGCTATGATATGCTATGCTGGGCTATGTTATGATATGGTGTGCTGCGCTATGCTACGCTACGCTATGCTATGTTATGCTGTGCTCTGCTATGCTAAAGCTCAGCGACGCTAAGATGAAGGTACGCTAAGCTAATATAAACCTGAACTAAGATGAAGCTAAGCTAAGCTAAGATGAAATAAGCTAAGATAAGATGAGATAAGCAACGCTAAGCTAAAAATACGCAACTGGAGGAACCGCGGGGCGGATGCCGGGGGAACCGCCCGGGGCGATATCCACTGCCCGGCCCCTTTAAGCACAGATGGGAAGAACCCTTCCAGGCAGAGCCTAGGTAGGGGGAACAAACAAAATCGTCCCCAGACTATGTTTTGACTATTTTTCAATATTCCTCCTGTAGAGGGACAGGCCCGACTTAAGAGTAAGGCAGCGAAAAGGGTAAGATAAGGGACAGGGCAGGGGGGTCGAGCTGAGCGGGAGGGGGGCGACGGAGAGGAGCAAGCGTCATCAGAAACCAGAGCAGCCATCGCTGAAATCCGGCTCAAACCCAGAGGTGCGACTGCGACATCCGCTGTCATCACGTTTCTGATCACCATCGGTCGCGAAACGCGCTGCAACGCATCTCCGCGCAAGGGGTGTGGGAACGACCGCTGCAGGCTGCCCTGGCGCATCCAAGACCAGGCCCAGCTGCGGAGGAGACGCCTGGAGACAGCCTCGAGCCACAGAGGCCCGAGCCAGAGATGCAGTACAGCGGGGCTGCTCTTCCGACTCGTGCTCGTCCGCTCGACTCCGTGATCACGGCGATGACTAGAAACCTCCCAGATGGGGTCGGAGTAGATGGGGTCGGAGGATCACACCGCATCGCCAATGCATCACCGATGCATCGGCGATGCATCGGCGATGCATCGGCGATGCATCGGCGACGTCGGCGACGCGTCCGCGACGTCGGCGTGGGGAAATCGGGCTCCACATCGAGTCGACTCGTCGATGCATCGGCGATGCGGTGCGATCCTCGGGCCCCATCCACTCGAACCCCATCTAGGAGGCCTACAATGATGTTTTCTGCGCTGGCGCACACCAAGGGAACTCCAGACACTCAAAAAATCGGCGCGAACAGCCTGCCACGCCAGAGCGGAGAGGGAGGGCGAGTGCACGGCAGAGCGCCGGGGGGGGGGGCACCGAGCCAGGTGCGGCCGGCAGTCCCGATTACCGACTGTACAGGAAAAGAATACATGCAGAGCGCATCAGTTTACAAGACTCGCCGCTGAGACGCGTCCCTCGTTCGCCTACACGCGAGAGCCGCGCGGCGGACGAACGACGGGCGAACCTTGCGTGACTTACTTACTTACAGCCGATTCGACCCCCTGATCCCTCCCCCTCCCCCTCCCCCTCCCCCTCCCCTCCTCCTCCTCCTCCTCCTCCTCCTCCTCCTCTCCTCCTCCTCCTCCTCCTCCTCCTCCTCCGTCCTCCTTCCTCCTCCTCCTCCTCCTCCTCCTCCTCCTCCTCCCTCCTCCTCCTCCTCCTCCTCCTCCTCCTCCTCCTCCCCCGCTCCCCTTCGTCGGCGTCCCTGACGTGTGGGCAGCCGGCTGGGCACGGACTCTGCGCCCTCGCGCGCCTCCGACGGCGGGGCGCGGCGGTGCGGCGAAGGCGTGCGCGCCGCCTGCCGAACGGGGCCGCGGCCTTTCCCGAAATGCGGCCCCGTGCGCCGTGCGCGCGGCGCTGCCCGTGGCGCGCTGCATCGTGCACGCGGCCAGGAGCAGCAGCCTCCTCGCTGTGCGCGTGGCATGTGGCAGCCGCCTCCTCGCCCCGCCTGCTCTGGTTCGCCCACCTTCGCGCACAGCGCCCCGCGAAGAGCGTCGCGCGACCACCTTCGCACCCCACGTGGAGAAGGGCAGCCGCTCTGGCCCTGACCGCGACGCGCGGTCATCTCCACGCCCCCGCATGTTACCTGGTTCCTCCTCCTCCTCCTCCTCCTCGCCCACCTCCCTCCTGGCACCCCGTTTTCCTACGTGATAATTTAACATATGTGCCGCCCCAGCCAAACTCCCCACCTGACGATGTCTTCCGCACAGATCAACCATCCAAAAAACAACCTTAGATCCAACCCTCACTGTGGCGCAAGTCTCAGTCTAACGGAATAAGTGAAATGACAATACGAGTAGTGGTATTTCAAGGTTGCCAAAGTTCCCATTTTTCCTACACCTCCTAAGTCATTTCACAAAGTCGGATTAGAGTCAAGCTCAACAGGGTCTTCTTTCCCCGCTGATTATCCCAAGCCCGTTCCCTTGGCTGCGGTTTCGCTAGATAGTAGATAGGGACAATGGGAATCTCGTTAATCCATTCATGCGCGTCGCTAGTTAGATGACGAGGCATTTGGCCACCTTAAGAGGGTCATAGTTACTGCCGCCGTTTACCCACGCTTGTTTGCATTTCATCACTTTGACATTCAGAGCACTGGGCAGAAATCACATCGCGTCAACACCTTGTGAGGCCATCGCAATGTTTTGTTTGAATTAAACAGTCGGATTCCCCTTGTCCGCTCCAGTTCTGAGTTGGTTGTTCACTGTACAGGGAAAGCCCCGAAAGGCGTTCCTTGAATGGCAATTCTCGCCACGCGCGAATCCACTATCCACCAGAAGGCGTCAAGTAGCTTCTGCTCAGTTCGAACATCAATCCAAGGACCCCTATACCCAACCCTCAGAGCCAATCCTTTTCCCCAAGTTACGGATCTATTTTGCCGACTTCCCTTACCTACCCATATTTCGTGGACCCCCAGTCCACGTAATGGCTCGTTTTCGGTGTTCGAGGCGTTCCATGGACTAGTCCATGAAACGACCTTCTTAAAAAGCTGTTCAAAAATGCGTTTCGGGCCGCCCTGGCTCCAGACAGTCTGCCTGCCTGTCCGTCTGCGTGCCCGCGCTTGTTTCCTACAAAACAGTGCCCACTCCATGCTTATTTTTCCGATCTCTTCGCCTCTGCAAACGCAAGCTCGCTCCATGAAACCACTGAGCCCTTCCTCTGCTCTTTCCTGGGCATCCCAGGCTCGAAACCGCGCAGTGCGCTTCTCTGGGCAGCCCAAAACTCTTTACTCCAAGGTTTCCTGGCCAGTAGGTTCATGGACTGGGGAGCGCGAACTTACTTGATCGGAATCCTACTCTGTCTTGTTTGCCCTGCTCAGCTCCAGAACCTGCTTTGCTTGGCCCTGCGCTGCTCCAGGCTCTACTGTGCCTGGCAGTGTTATGTTCCAGGTTCTGCTCTGCCTTAGCCCTGCTGGGCCCCAGGCCCTGCCTTGCCTAGCCCTGATGCCTCGGGCAGGCCGAAGCTGCCCAATCCATGGCCTCCTGGCCAGTCGGTTCATGGACTGGGGCGCGCGAACCTGCCAACCGTGGGAATCGACCAGTCCGGGACTTTGCGCAGGGTGGTCTTCTTTCCTCGGGGCGCAAACCTGTCTGCAAACCCTGGGAATCGACCGTTTCAGGATTTTGCGTGCCTGGTGCGTTGCTCGGCAGTTTCTGTGGCCGCGGCGCTCCCACGGCCCCCCGCGCTCGCGCGCCGTTGCTGACCGGGCGCGTCGCCGCCGCAAAAAAACTGCTCAGGACTTTGCGTGCTGGCGGGTTGTTTGGCTGCGCTGCTGTGGCCCTGGCGCGCTTGCCCAGCTATGCCCAGCCCTGCTGGGCTCTATGGCCTGCTTTGCCTGGCGCTGCTGCCTTGGGCAGGCCGAAGCTGCCCAATCCATGGCCTCCTGGCCAGTAGGTTCATGGACTGGGGCGCGCGAACCTGCCAAGCGTGGGAATCGACCAGTCCGGAACTTTGCGCAGGGTGGTCTTCTTTCCTCGGCGCGCAAACCTGTCAGCAAACCCTGGGAATCGACCGTTTCAGGATTTTGCGTGCCTGGTGCGTTGCTCAGCAGTTTCTGTGGCCGCGGCGCTCCCACGGCCCCCCGCGCTCGCGCGCCGTTGCTGACCGGGCGCGTCGCCGCCGCAAAAAAACTGCTCAGGACTTTGCGTGCTGGCGGGTTGTTTGGCTGCGCTGCTGTGGCCCCGGCGCGCTTGCCCAGCTATGCCCAGCCCTGCTGGGCCCCAGGCCCTGCCTTGCCTAGCCCTGCTGCCTTGTGCAAGCCGAAGCTGCCCAGTCCATGGCCTCCTGGCCAGTAGGTTCATGGACTGGGGCGCGCGAACCTGCCAAGCGTGGGAATCGACCATTTCGGAACTTTGCGTAGGGTGGTCTTCTTTCCTCGGGGCGCAAACCTGTCTGCAAACCCTGGGAATCTACCGTTTCAGGATTTTGCGTGCGCTCGGCAGTTTCTGTCGCCGCGGCGCTCCCACGGCTGCCCGCGCTCGCGCGCCGTTGCTGGGCGCGCGCGCCGCCAAACTGCTCAGGACTTTGCGTGCTGGCGGGTTGTTTGGCTGCGCTGCTGTGGCCCTGGCGCGCTTGCCCGGCATGCCCAGCCCTGCTGGGCCCCATGGCGTGCCTTGCCTAGCCCTGCTGCCTTGGGCGGGCCGAAGCTGCCCAATCCACGGCCTCCTGGCCAATAGGTTCATGGACTGGGGCGCGCGAACCTGCCAACCGTGGGAATCGACCATTTTGGAACTTTGCGCGGGGTTGTCTTGTTTCCTCGGTGCGCAAACCTGTCAGCAAACCCTGGGAATCGACCGTTTCAGGATTTTGCGTGCCTGGTGCGTTGCTCAGCAGTTTCTGTGGCCGCGGCGCTCCCACTGCTGCCCGCGCTCGCGCGCCGTCGATGGGCGGGCGCGCCGCCGCCGCAAACAAAAAATGCTCAGGACTTTGCGCGCTGGCGGGTTGTTTGGCTGCGCTGCTGTGGCCCTGGCGCGCTTGCCCAGCTATGCCCAGCCCTGCTGGGCTCTATGGCCTGCTTTGCCTGGCACTGCTGCCTTGGGCAGGCCGGAGCTGCCCAATCCATGGCCTCCTGGCCAGTAGGTTCATGGACTGGGGCGCGCGCACCTGCCAACCGTGGGAGTCGACCATGTCGGAACTTTGCGCGGGGTGGTCTTGTTTCCTCGGTGCGCAAACCTGTGTGCAAACCATGGGAACCGACCGTATCGGGATGTTGCGTGCCTGGCGCGTCGCTCGGCAATTTTTGCGGCCGCGGCGCCCCCGCCAGGGCTTTCCGCGCTCGCGCGCCATTGCTGGGTGGGCGCGCCGCCGCCACAAAAAACTGCTCGGGGGCGTGTGTGCTGGCGCGTTGCGCGGCTGCGTTTTTTGCGGCAGCGGCGCGCTTGCCCAGCGATGCCCAGCCCTACTGGGCCCCAGGTCCTGCCTCGCCTAGCCCTGCTGTCTCGGGCAGGCCGAAGCTGCCTAAGCCATGGCCCCCTGGCCAGTAGGTTCATGGACTGGGGCCCACGAACCTGCCAAGCGTGGGAATCGACCATTTTGAAACTTTGCGTAGGGTGGCATGGTTTCCTCGGTGCGCAAACCTGTCAGCAAACCCTGGGAATCGACCGTCTCGGGATTTTGCGTGCCTGGCGCGTTGCTCGGCAGTTTTTGCGACCGCGGCGCCCCCACCAGGGCCAGGGCTTCCCGCGCTCGCGCGCCGTTGCTGGGTGGGCGCGTCGCCGCCGCAAAAAAACTGCTCAGGACTTTGCGTGCTGGCGCGTTGTTCGGCTGCGTTCTTTTGTGGCAGCGGCGCGCTTGCCCAGCTATGCCCAGTCCTGCTGGGCTCCATGGACTGCCTTGCCTGGCCCTGCTGTCTTGGGCTGGCCGAAGCTGCCTTAGCCGCGGCCCCCTGTCCTCGCGGACTGGGGCCCGCGAACCTGCCAACCGTGGATATCGACCTTCTGGAACTTTGAGTAGGGTGGTCTCGTTTCCTCGGCGCGCAAACCGATCCGCAAACCCTGGGAATCGACCGTATCGGGATTTCGCGTGCCTGGCGCGTTGCTCGGCAGTTTCTGCGGCCGCGGCGCCCCCTCCAGGGCTTCCCGCGCTCGCGCGCCGTTGCTGGGTGAGCGCGCTGCCGCCGCAAAAAAGTTGCTCGGGACTTTGCGTGCTGGCGCTTTGCGGCAGCGGCGCCCTTGCCCAGCTATGCCTAGCCCTGCTGGGCCCCGCGGCCTGCCTTGCCTGGCCCTGCTGCCTCGGGCAGGCCGAAGCTACCCAATCCACGGCCTCCTGGCCAGTGGGTTCATGGACTGGGGCCCGCGAACCTGCCAGCCGTGGGAATCGACCATTTTGAAACTTTGCGTAGGGTGGTCCGTCTTCCTCGGTGCGCAAACCTGTCTGCAAACCCTGGGAATCGACCGTTGTTGGATGTTGCGTGCCTGGCAAGTTCTGCTTGGCCCAGCCTTTTTGATAACAGGTGCTGGCCGAAGCTACCTGCCAGCGCGCTTCCCTGGGTCGCTGGGAAAAGCGCAGGGCGCTTCTCTGGCTGCCCGAAGCTACCTACTCCAAGGCTTCCTGGCCAGTAGGTTCATGGACTGGGGCCAAGGAACCCGCTGGCCAGGAACGCCGCTCGGCCCTGGGGCGGGACCTTGCTCAGCTCCAGGTTCTGGTGCGCCTGGTTGCGTTTTGCTTTAATTTCCGCTTGGCAGCCCTGCTTGGCTCCAGGCACTGGCCGAAGCTACCTGCTCTGGGCGGGGCCCGAAGCCACCGGCCCAAAAGCTCCCCAGCCACTAGGTTCATGGATTGGGGCGCGCGCACTTACTAGATCGGAATCCTGTTTTCTCTCGTTTACCCGAGCAGCTCCAGGTCTGCTTCGCGTGACCCTGCCCAGCTCCAAGCCCTGTCTGGCTTGGCCGGCTCGTTCCATGAAGCGACTGGGCCCAGAGCCGCCCCCGAACGGTCCCCGAGCTCATGGGCATCGCCTGGCGGCTCCTGTGAGCCAATGCTTGGTCGACAAATGAATTGCGAAAAGGGGGGGGCATCAAGGAAGGGGCGCATGTTGAACAGCAGGAGATCGCGGCATCACGCTTCGGCTTCGGCTCACGACCAAACGGTTCATGGGCCCGAGACCATGAAACAATTACCCCAATTGGATCATGCACCCTGGTCCATACAACCGATGTGCCAATTCAGTGTCTCTTGGTGTCTCGCAGGCTTCCTGGCCCCCCCCCGATGGCAAATGCCCACCAGGTACTACCTTGTAAAACCGCGGGGCTTTACTCGAGGGCCCCATGGGGATGCCGCCCCCCTCACTGTTGCCGGGGATCGACGCGGCCCAAGGAGCCCCGGGGCCCCAGACCACCGAACCCAGGACAACTTCTAGGAACGTAGAATAGGAGAGAGGAGAAGGAGAAGAGACAGGGACCGCAGGGCAGGAACTGAAGGACACTGACAGCAGGAGAAAGAAGAAGAAAGGTTCCCATGGACAGGGATAAGGAAAAGGACGAGAAAAGCACAGAGAGAGGAACCGTTGTTAGAAAGGAGAGAGTGGACAATGACCTATCCCCACGTCTCGCGCCCCCTGTGGGCACGGGCGCCCGCGACTGGCAACCGCTGTACCAAAAGCGACCCTACCGCGTCAGTAAATACGTTCGGGAAGCCGCCGTAGTAGACCTGAGAAAGCAATTGCGCTACAGAAAAGTATGCTGACGGGGCCCGCGGAACTGCCCCCCCCCCAAAAAAAAAAAAAACTGGAGTTGGAACGCAGCGTTCCTCTCTCACTGTAATTGTTCGGCCCGACGAACCCATTCGCGCACGCTCCCAGAGAGCAGTTCCCCGACCTTGACGAGCGCCCGCGCCAGGGGCGGCATGGGTTCATAGCGCGCCCGCGGCGGCCGTTCACGGGGGGGGCATGGTGGACCTGAGAAGGCGATTGCGCTACAGGGGACCGCGGAGGCGTCATTCCAAACAGCGTTTTCCAAAGACAGCCCTGGCCGGGAAACTCCCCGGCCCGCGGTCGGTTGCCCCCCCGAGTGCCCCCGCGCACTCCCAGGGCCCAGTTGCCCATGCGTGCATCAGCGCGTTGACGCTGCCCCGAAGACCACTGAGGTACACCTTATGCGGGGCCTCCCACGCAGCAGGGCATGGGCAACCGCCCGCGGGCCAAATTGAAAACAGACCCGCGCAGCACATGCACGTCGAGCGCCTTGTTTGCGACAGGGCCCGTTTCCAATTCAAGGCCGCTGGCGAATGTCCGCGCGCCATTGCATGTAAGACCCCCAACCTTGTTGTGGATTTCCTCGGAGCGGTGGAGCTGTTGGCGGACTGCAGCCGGGCCCACCACGAACCTGGGCGCGTTCGACGAGAACTCCTCGGACATGATGTTACACGCGGTGCGCCCCCCGACGCTTCCAAAGGATACGTTGAGGACTTCGTGGCTGAAGGCGCCGGTCTGGCCATCGCCCCAATAGCCAGAGAACGGCGTCTCGCACGCCTGCGCGCCTGGAAAGAATATTGGATTACATCAGTTCGCGCGCGTAGCCCCATGATGTGGCTTCGGAATCTGGCCACGGTTAAACTTGTTCTTCTTCATGTTTGCGGGCGCCGGGCTCCGCGGTCAGTTTCATGGGCACTCGCGCACTAGCTGCTGCACTTTAACACTCCGGCCTTCGCCGCCCTCGGCTGCCGCGGACGCCCTGTCGCAGCGCGCCTTCGCGCCCAGGTTCTCGACCAGCGCGGGTCAGCGACGCCGCGGGCAGTCCTCGCGCAGCTGCTGGGCGCGGCCGCGCAAAATCTCCCCTGCGTCGCCCCTGTTGCCGATCGCCGCGCCCAGGCCCCACTTCGCCTCGCGCGACCGGGGGGGGGGCCGGGGCCGAGAAGCACCCGGCGGATTCCTCCGAAGGCGAGTGGAACCCCGAACCGCGGGCCCCAAATCCATGAACCATTACGGCTTTCGCGCGCCTGCGCCGATCATCAGTTCGCCATGGGCTCATGGACTCGGACTCTGTTGCCTGAGGCCCCCCTCGCCCAGTCCTTGTAGGAGCCGATGTCCCAATTGACCGCCAGCTCGCGCAGGTCGGAGGACCTCTCGGTGGCCCACAGCAGCAAGTGGCCTGCTAGAAGCTGCTGTTTCGGGGGGGCCAGAGCGAGCTTGGCCTTGTTAATCTTGCCCCGGTCCTGCTCTGGCCCCCTTCTTGTTCTGGCCCCGCCCTTGCTTGTTCTGGCCCCCCGCTCGTTAATCTCGCCCCGGCCCTGCTCTCCCCTGCTCTGGCCCTGCCCCCAGCGGGGTGCAGCATCGAGGCCAGGGCGTACTCGCGGGCCTGTACTTTGGCCTCGCGCAGGCTCGCGCTGGCCATCATGGTGTCGAACGCGGCCTCGGGCTTGCGCGCCCAGTAGCCGCCGTCCGGGCGCTCGCCGTCGGGCACGAAGATGTCGCCCTTGCGCTTCGGGACGGCGAGCTGCTGGGAGTTGGCCCCAGCCTGCTAGGAAGCTCACTTTCACCCGCCCTGTTTCGGAAAAAGCAAGCAAGCTCATGGGACAGACTGCTGGAAGATTAGGCCGACGGGACAGGCCCGTGGACCCTTGCCCATGAACTTGCCACCCCCTCCAAACCAGGAGAGTAGAGGTGAGATTTCTTTTCCTTGCGCGCCTTGGTCCTCGCAGCTCCCAGGCGCCGCGTGTACGCCGAGAGCTCGTTTTTGGTCATGGTGGGGCGGACGAAGCTGTGGGCGAGCGAGTTCATGAAGCGCTTGACGCAGTCCAGCCACGCTTTAAAGACTGCGTTCTTCGCCCCAGCTTTGTTGGACAGCAGCGCGGTCGCCAGGTGGCGGGGTGTTGGAAGTAGGCCTCCAGGTTGCCTATTTCCAAATATTCCACCACCTTGTCCCGCGAGGTCTCCCGCGACGTCTTCAGCTCGTGATCCGTCCACTTGCCCCTGACCAGGTCGTGGTCGTCCGTCCATTTGACCAGGAGCATGAACTGGTTGAAATACCCCTTGCAGGGGCGCCCCCGTGCAAAACCATTCGACATTGGGGAAAAATGGCAACAGCGCGCAAAAATCACGACTGGAAGCCTAGACCCGATATTTCTGCGGCATTTGTCGAGCCGGATCGATATGTGATGATCCTGGGGCCCGAAGCCGGGCGAAAACGCCCAGCGCGAAAAGAATCGCAACGCCCAGATCTCAGGGTCTGCATCTGCTAATTGGTTTTCAAGTCAGAATTCTGCTCTCAGGTGGCCCCTTGGTGCGCTCTCGGCGAGGCGCAACCGCTGAGAAGCATCCCGAGGGCGGAACACCGCCCAGGACCGACGAAAACATCCGATTCCGTAGAACTCAACAACGCAATACGACAGCACAACGCAACAATGCAATTTACGGGTTGTCTGTCTTCTGTCTTCTGCGCAAGAGCGCTGTAAGTCACGCAGGTCTCGCACTGGCCTGCGCAAAGCTCTGATTCGAAAAGATGCTGACCAGAGGGCCCGCGCATGGGCAAGCAAGATCTTCGGCCGACGCAGCGACAAGTACATTACAACTCCGCGTGGGGAGGGCTGCGCTGCTCTGCTCGATGATCCTCGGAACGTGCGCTAGCCCCAACGTGTGTTTGCTCCTCGAGGACCTTCGAGACGACGCAGGCGATGAAATGATCTGCCGGTTGGGCTGCATGGGGGTACACACATTGGGCTAACGCACGTCCCGAGGATCATCGATCTGCTCGGCTGCTGAAGCTGAGTGGCGTCCGCACTCTCGAGCTCGGCGGGCTGCCCGCTGCGGGCCCACTCGGCCCACCCACACAGGAACAAGGAAAGGCGGCAGCAACACCACCAGGGCGAGGAGATATGAGGAGCAGCGGGGGCCTCCCTGGTGGTGTGGTCCCCCCCCTTCTCGCTCGAGGCATCCCCAGCCTCCAGCTCGGGGAGGCATCGTGGACCTCCTCGCTGGAGGTGGCCCCCCTGGTGGCGTTGGTGGCGCATCTCCTCCTCCTCCTCCTCCTCCTCCTCCTCCTCCTCCTCCTCTTCCCCCTCCCCCTCCCCCTCCCCCTCTGGCTCAAAGCTCGCCGCAACGCTCCGCTCGGAGGCCGTGGGGCCCTGCTCGGCCGCCCGCCTCCAGAGGCCGCGGCGAGCCCTCGCCTCCGCGGCTGCCCTGGCGGGAGCAGCTCCCCGCGCTGGAGCGGGACTGGAAGAGGGCGTCGAGGTCGGCGCCCGAGCCCCCCTCGACCGGCAGGAGGCGAGCGGCTCCCGAGGGAAGCGTGCCCTGGGCTTGCGTGGCGCGCGACCACCGGGTTCTGTGAGGCGTAGGATCAGTCAAAGATGCCCCAAGGACACCCAAGAGCACAGTTTGTACACTTTGGGGTCGGCGGGTCGGGAGCGGGCCCCTTCCGGTCAAGAGCTACACGGGACGCGGGTAGCCCTAATTAGGGAGACAGGGCGCGGGAGCACAGTTTCTACACGCAGCATAGCGATCCTCAAAGCATCCCCCCTGGGGCCCATCCCCCGGCTGCTCGTCCCGAGCCGCCTCCTGGGTGGCGCCGCCTGGGCCCTGCCCGTCCCCCCCCCCCCCCGCCAGCCATCGCCTCTCCTGGATATCGACGGCAGGCGGGGTCCCGGGGGTCGGACTGCGCCGCGTGCCCGACGGAGTCCGAGCCCTGCCCCCCGCCGCCCATCGAGTCTCGCCGCCAGCCAGGGCCTCCCCCCCAGGGCCAGGCTGCTCGTCGTGCTCGGACGGCCACCCCCTGGAGCGCCCCCTGGAGCGCCCCAAAGGCCCCGAAGGTGGCGGCGCGCACTGGTGGGCATCGTTTGACCGATCCCCATCCCCACGGGCGTGGCCTGGGCACCACTGGCCGATGTACCCCCCTGGATGGGGATATGGCCTGTTCGTGCCCTTTGGGTTTCGAGGGGCCTATCCCCAACCCGGGTGGTGGGATGGCCTGGGCACCACTGGCCGATTTGCCCCGCTGGATGGGGATATAGGCTGGTTGTGGCCTTTGGGTTTCGAGGGGCCCATCCCCAATCGGGGTGGTGGGATGGCGGGGCCGAGAGACCATGGCTCAATGGGAATGGGGATCGGTTGAACGATACTGAACTAGGGTCAAGGGGGAGGGGGGAAAGCTTCTCAGCAGGAGGCTGAGAAGGAGGCTGCCTCTGAGAAGGAGGCGCTGCTTTTTTAGAAGGCGCGGGCCTCACGTCTGCAGACAAGCCCGGGGATCTTCTCAGAAGCCCAGGAGAGCCCAGAATCGAATCGATAAATCGGGCCGGCGATCGAAATGAATCGGATCGGCGGAAATCGGCGGCCAGGTCGGGAAGATGCAAAGCGGCGGAAATCGGCAGGCTAGTTTGCCTACATTGAGACGTCGGATCCCGAATCGGAATCCGAACTCGAATCGAATCGGAATCGGAAGCCATCGAAATCGAATCGCATCGCATCGGAGGAGTCGAAGCGAGCCCTGGAAGCCCCCCCCCCTCCCCATATCCCCCTTCTGCGCGTGGCCGACCGACGGCGGCGGGACACCTCCAGGGTTAGGTCGGGCATGTCCTCCCACAGGCGGATCTGGGACGAAAAATCCCCACAAATAATCCATAGCTGTCAAAAGCAATCCAAACATCGTCCCCACATTGTTTGTGTCAGGTAGTTTTGAGCACTCCTCCTGTGGAGGGACACGCCCGACTGAACCTCCGAGGCCTCGCTCCTCTCGGGGGCCCGCTTGCTTCCCGCCGGCCTCGAGGCCGCGGGCCTCCCGGTCGTACTCGTAGCCGGCCCACCGCAGGCTGTCGGCACACAGCGGGGGCGCGCGGACCTCTGGCAGCGGCTCGCCTGGGCCACATGGCCCGAGGGCACAGGGGCCGCCTGCGGGGGGGGGGGGGCAGAATGAGGTCGGGCATGTCCTCCCACGGGCGGTTGTGGGAGAGAAACATAGAGCAGGCTCAAACAAGATTCAAGAATGGCCACAGAAATGGTCGGAACCTCGTCCCCGGAGGAAGTTTGGATCATCTTTGAACATCCCTGCTGCAGGGGGACATGCCCGACCTAAGGCCAGAACGGCGCGCAGTGGCAGACCGAGCGGGCGCTGCGATTCTTGCTCGCACCAGGCGTCTTCGCTTGGCTCCGGGCCCCGAGACCACCACGGATCGATCCGGCTGGAGAGCTGCTGCTGGGAAACAAGGTTCAGTTGGCGGCGCGCAGAAGGGGGGTAGGGGGAGGGGGGAGGGCTTCTTAGAAGCACCCCTGCTTCTTAGAAGGCGCGGGCCTTCTCTATAGACGTAAGGCCGAGGCCTTCTAAGAAGCAGTGAGCTTCTAAGAAGCCTTCCCCCCTTCCCCTACCCCCTTTTGCGCGCCGCCAATTCAGGGCTCCAGTCGCGATTCTCGGAGGAAGGGAACAACGCCGCAGGCACAAACGTTCGACGGCCCGCGCGCACTTCTTGGATCTGCGCTGGAGCCCCCCTCCCTGGCGCGCGGAGCGCGCCAGGGGCGGCGCCGGAGGCGCCGCCAGGGGGCCCATCCAAGAAATCCGCGCGGACCGTCGAAAGCTCATGTTTGCGCCGTGCTTTCTTCTTCGCTTTGCTCGCGTCGTCGGACCTCGGGGGACGGTGCGATGACAGACCGCGCGGTGACCTCGAGGCCCCAGCGCGCATCCAAGAGATCCGCGCGGACCGTCGAAAGTAGGAGGAGGAGGAGAAGGGAGGGAGGAGAAGGGAGGGATGATGATGATGATGAGGAGGAGGAGGAGGAGGGGAGGAGAGAAGGAGGAGGGAGGAGGAGGGGGAGGAGGGAGGAGGGAGGAGGGAGGAGGGAGGGAGGAGGAGGGAGGGAGGAGGGAGGAGGGAGGAGGAGGAGGAGGAGGAGGGAGGAGAGGAGAAGGAGAAGGAGAAGGAGAAGGAGAAGGAGGGAGGAGGAGGAGGAGGAGGAGGAGGAGGAGGGAGGAGGAGGGAGGAGGAGGAGGAGGAGGAGGAGGAGGAGGAGGAGGAGGAGGAGGAGGAGGAGGGAGGAGGAGGAGGAGGAGAAGGAGGGTTTGTGTCTGCGGCGTGCTCTCTTCTTCGATTTGCTCGCGTCGTCGGACCTCAGGGAGCGGTGCGGTGACAGACCGCGCGGTGGCTTCGAAGCCCCAGGGGGGCATGGACCTCGCGGCACGGTCCGCCCCCGCAACAGGCCTCGGGGCCCCCGGAGGCCCCAGCTCCAGGGGCAGATAACGGGGCTGGGCCCCTGGAGGCCCAGCTTTGTTTTCGTCTTGCTCTTCGTTTTGCTATGTTCTCGCTATGTGGTTCGTTTTGTTGTGCTCTGTTTTCGGTTTGTTTCTCATGGTGTCTTTTGTTTCGTTGTTCGTGTTGTTCTCATTCGGCTTTTCGTTTCGCTCTACCTGTTATCCTGTACCTCCCCCCCAAACGAAGAACAAGACACAGCCGAAGTCCAGCAAAACAGCGTTTAGGTCCAGCCCGACAGAGAATGGCGCACAGCCGGCCCGTATCAGAAGGATGCGCGATAAGGATGCAAGGGCCTTGGACGCTCACTTCGAAGCTTTTCGAGCGGGGCGCGGCCAACGAAAGCGGCCTAGGATGGGCCGAGGAGGTAAGGGATGCAAGGGTACCCTTGGGAAAATCGCTCATCCTTACTATGCGGGTTGACTGTAGACAGAAACGTTGGGAGCTCCGCGCGGATCTCTTGGACCAGCGCTGGACCCTCTCCTGTCGCGCGAAGTGCAAAACCTGCCCAAACAGAAACTTCCGGAGCTTCGGGCGCACATCTCGGACCGACGACGGACACCCCCCTCCCTGGCGCGCGGAGCGCGCGAGGGGCGGCGACAGCGGCGCCGCCGGTGCGCTCCAGCGCCGATCCAAGAGATCCGCGCGGACCTCCGAATGCTTACAGCGAGGCCAGTCCACAAGAAACCTTCCGCAAGAGACCCAACCCTGAGACCCCAGCACGTCCCTTGATTTCTGGTGTGGGAACGTCAGGCGTTCCATCGCAAAACCATCGAAGCCCAAGAAGCCCAGGGCACCCAGGAGGCAAGCGGGGTGTCTCTTGGCATGGGCCTCCACTGCACCTGTGTGCCGGTCTTGGGTCCCCGGCCAGTCGCCCGAGACGGCCTCGGAGAACGGCCCGAGCCCCAAAAGCTGGACGCCCGAAGCGGGCACGGACAAAAAGAGGGTGCGATGCCCCACAGCGAACGCAGACCAGAACCGGCAGCGGCCGCTGTTTGGCACAGGGCTGGACCTATACGTTGCTTCTCGCTTTGTTGCTCGTTTGCGTTTCGTTTTGCTCTACCTGTCTTCCTATACCTCCCTGCCAAAGCGAAGAACAAGACACAGCCGAAGTCCAGCAAAACGGCGTTTAGGTCCAGCCCTGTTCTGGCAGGCGGCCCTCTGTTCAAAAAACGGAGCAACTTCGAGCGACGCCCACCAGGGCACCGGCAGCGAGACCTGCTCAGAATGATCCGGGGATCCTGTCGGTCTTTGCACACGTTCCTTCCGTACTGAGGAGGAGGAGGAGGAGGAGGAGGAGGAGGAGGAGGAAAGAGGAGGGAGGAGGAGGAGGGAGGAGGAGTGAGGATCCACAAGGGGAGGAGGAGGAGGAGGAGGAGGAGGAGGAGGAGGAGGAGGAGGAGGAGGAGGAGAGGAGGACGAGGACGAGAGGAGGAGGAGGAGGAGGACGAGGAGGAGGAGGAGGAGCTTCTCCGAGGCGGGGATATATCCGCAGCCGCCGCCTGGGGGCCGAGGCGCGCCCTCGAGCGGCCACGCCCCTGCCGCGGCCTCGGCCTCCGCCTCGAGGGGCGAGCGCGTGAGGTGCAGCCGCTCGAAGTCGAGGCCGGCGAAGAAGGGCTCCCGCCGGCAGCCCTCGATGGAGATCCGCGCCTCTCGACTACACGCAAGAGTGCACCTGTGCAAGAGTTGGGAGGGCACCAACTTATACACCTACACCGATCCTGGCCAGGCCAATCCTGGGCCCAGGATCGGTGCATATGCCTTCCTGCCCCAGGCAGGAGGGCGTATACACCGATCCTGGGCCCAGGGTGATCCTGGCCAGGATCGGTGTTGGTGTATAGTTGGTGCCCTCCGAAGAGTGACCTCTGGTGCGCGGTCTTCTGGGGGCCGCAGGGGGACTGAACACAGGCGCGCAAGACGCTATATTGCCGCATCGCGTTCGGCGGTGGAGGGACCCCCTTGGGCTCGCACTAGAGGTCACTCCGGCGAGAGGTCACTCTTGGGTCTCGTCGAGCCTCCCGGGGGCAGAGGACCTTCGCGAGGAACTGCTCGGAGACGTCGTCCGTCCATCCCCTGCCGGGGAGAAGGAGAGGCGGCGTGCTGGCGGCGCGCGTGAGGGGGTTAAGGGGGGGGGAAAGCTTCTCAGAGGGAGGCTGCTTCGTAGAAGGCGCCGGCCCTGCATCTGTAGAGAGAAGGCCCGCACCTTCTAAGAAGCAGGGGTGCTTCTACGAAGCCTTCTCCCTCCCCCTGCCCCCAATTGCACGTGGCTGAGTAGAAGCATAAGCAGCATAAGCTTTTCGGAAGTCCGCGTGGATTTCTTGGAACGGCGCAGGACCACTCCTCCCTGGCGCGCGGAGCGCGCCAGGGGCGCCCCCAGAAGCGCCGCCAGGGGCGTCCAGCGCCGATCCAAAAACTCCTCGCGGACCTCCTAGAGCCTGTGCTGACGCAGTGTTTCTCCTTCGACCTCTGGCGTGTCTTCTCAAACCTTTTTGGGAGGATCTCCTGATGGTACCTCATCTGCTCGCGCATGTACGGGTAACCCTCGTCGTTGCTCTTGCTCTCGTTCGTGAAGGGCACGATGCCCACGAGGCACTCGAAGGCAACGATCCCTGCCGACCAGATGTCCATCTCTGGTCCAGTGCTGCCTCCGTCGAAGGCCTCGGGCGCCATGTATTCCAGCGTTCCACACACCGTCGCCAACCGCTCGCGGCGAGACTGCTCCTCGCTGCGCCTGGGGCCGTCGAAACGCAGACATGGGCCGAAGGCGATATACCCCGAGATGGGTATGGCGCCGTTACCCTGCCTGTCCCCAAACCGAGTCCCGGAAATGCAAGGCGTAGTCCGCGAAACTGCATGCAACAAGCCGTGACCGAAATGCGCCCAACTGATTATTTCTTGCGATTCTGGCGCTTGTGGCGAAGGTCTGTCCCCCCTACCGCTACACCCAATAACGTGGAGCGACCTCCTGAAAGCGTAACCGAAATGTGTCCAGCAGCCTTTCTGCTAGTCTGGCGCATGTTGCAAACCTCCCCCATACCCCTATATCTCAAAACGTGGAAACCATTTCTTCTAATTCCCCCAAACCATCCCTCCCCCTACTCAGAGGGGGCGACTAGGTGAGGGGCGCCCTTGGCACTCAAGGGGGGGGGGGCAGGCTTGCGGTGTTTGCGGAAGCCTCTAGACGTGTTCAGAGGAGGGAAGGAGAGGGAGACGAGGAGAAGCAGGACGAGGCAGGAGGAGGAGGGGAGGAGGGGGAAAAGGGGAGGAGGGCGACGAAGAATAGGAGAGGGAGGAAGGAGAGGGAGAAGAGAGAGGGTACTGAGGGTACTGATGACCCGGGGTGGGTCTTCACCCCGTGGCACCCAGCCACAAGAGGCAGACTACTCGACCTCCTCATCCCGCATACCAGAAGCGCTCGCCCTGCTACGCTGGTCATTCTCCTAAGAAACAAGCGCCTCGGGGGACCCAAAACCGTGCAACCAGGTAATCTGTAGGCGGCTGGGCAGCTGCCGTCGCGGGGGGGACCTCCACAGCACCAGCGCCAGGGCCCGACGCCCCACCAGCCGTCCCCCCCCCCCCCCCACACCCACGCCCCCCGAAGGCTCGCAGCCCAGCGGAAGACCCCGAACAGCTTTGCTTTCCTGCGCTGGCCCACACGGCAGCCCCACGGTGGCCTTGCCCTTGGGAAGAAGCCGCGCCTGAGCCGAGATCTTTGGCGTTGGCCCAAACGGTGGCCCCACGGCGGCCTTGCCCAAATTGTGTCCCGGGAACAAGCCGCGCCTGAGCCGAGAGCATCGGCTCTGATCTTCAGCGCGAGCGGATCCTTTACAGGTGCCTAAAGGGCCTCCTCGCGCACGCTGACGCGCGGAGGCCGCAGGACACCTGCAGAAAAACAGCTGGAGCCTATCCCGACTTTCAGCCTGGACTTCGGCCTGAACAACAGCATGGCCTCGGAACCCCCGGAGGACCGAAAGGCCAGGAGAAAGTCTCTGGGTTCAGGCGGAGGAGGAGGCGGAGGGGGCGGAAACGGAGGCACCGCAACCCCCGCGGCCCTGGCACTCCCATCAAAAGGACGCACCCCCTTCCCTGACACAAATCAATCAGCGCCTGCGGACTATCATCCTCGCCTTCGATGTCAGGTGCGCCTGCTATGCCGCGCGAACCGTTCTGCTCTAGCGCCCCAAAAAACACCTTGAACCTGGCCGTACCACAACGCACAATCTCGAACAAGGGCAAGTCTCCTTGCATTTCCCAAAGCTGCGTTCCCCGTGTGGCAAAGTTGTCGGCCGCGTTCTGTCCTCGAGCTGATCAAAAGTCACGATCCGTCCTAGCATCTCTCTTTCTCACTGGTTCGCTTTGACCTTGCCGGCTCGGGCCTCCTGCCCGATGCCCCCCCCCGCCAGTTGGTCCAGAAGTGACGCCGGGGTTGGAGCAGGTCAGGGCAGATCCTGAGTCCTGCGCGCGCTCAACTGTACCAGCGCAATCGCAAAACGCTTCGAGCGAGTCTGCCTCGTTCCACTCAGGATGTTCGGTGGCCACTCATGGGGGCCTTCCATGCCATCTTGTCGGTTCATGCGCATCGACGCAGATCGACGCTAGTCGACGCCAATTGATGCTAAGTCGACGCTGCTCTACGCTAGCCGACGCTAAGTCGGCGCTGTCTCATCGACTCCCAAACGCTAATCGAGCCTACACCGGAACCGGAAAGTGGGAACATCGGACCTGCAGCTGTCACCGGATGGGGCGTCGCAGGCGGGCGCCGCAGCGCCAGGCATGTGAAACGCGTAGCGGGGGCCGCCAATGCAGCTGCCGAAACATGAATGAACATATAAGGTAGCAATCTAGAAGTTTCGGGCGCTGACCTTCCTACATAGCTTAGCCCGAGGATCTCCCACATGTCAGCGTTGGCAATAGATATCCAATTTGGCCTGGCATGTTGTCAGGTGTCGTCGCACCGCCCCCTCTTTTGGCGCCCAGGTCTCCGTCGCGCACCGCACATGGGATCTTGTTGTGGGTCCCGTTGCAGAACCTGCGATGTCCATTCGTGTGCTTCTGAACTGCGCGCCTTCTGGTCCCATCTCCATTTTCGCCAGCGTCGGGTGGATATCCAGTCGTCGGTTTTCAGTCGCTCCAATACTTACTCATCTTTTTTACTGCGTAGTAAACCTTCGAATGTAATCCACCCGCGGCTCGAGACCGTCGCTGTCTCGAGGTCGCGTGTCCGGGCCCATTTGATCCCGGCGCCTGGTGCGCGTGGAATAATGCGCAACATCTGGCGTTGCGATTTCCGGAATCGGTTTTCCATATCCACTGTCATGGCCCATGCTTCACACCCGAGCAACAATCGGAGATGTGGTCCCATGAAACAACCGGATTATGTTGTTTACTGAATGGTGCTTGCTAAATAACTCCTGTCGCAACGCAAAGAATCGCCTCCATGCTGTCGAAATTCGGTTTTGTAATTCAGCGCTGCGAAAACCGCTGAATTGAATTTGCTCTCCAAGATACTTCGTTGCCCTGTGCGACGGCGACGCCTCGATAGACATTCCGTTGACCACTACGTTGTTGGGCATTCTCCTTTCGCGCGTTCGCCGGCGCCCGCTGCGAAGAACCTTTCTCTGGCACCTAATCGACCCTAGTCGACGCTGAAGTCCGAATTCAGAGGGTAGACCAGGCCCCCGCGATTTGCCACCGAACAGATTGACGCGTCAACGAGCGGAATGCGCAGACCTCCCCCCCCCCGGCGACCCGCGAAGGAGCGCACCAGGGGGGCGCAGCGCCGTGCGTGGCCGCCTTGAGCTGATTCGCCTTCGGTTTGGCGGCTGGCGCTGGCGCCGAAGGGGCCCTGCTGGCCGTCTCGGCGCGCGGCTGCTGCGGGGCTGACGCTGCCCGCGTGCCCGGGCGGGTCGCCATCGACGCAAGCTTGTCGACATGCCCGCGCCACCAGCCACACGTGGCCCCCGCGTCCGATTCCACGCTGTCTCGGAGCACTGCCTCCCACGGGCAAGCGTCTATCGAACAGGTCCCGGGGACCTTGCCGCTCTCGGGCGACCTCCGCGCGGGGCCGAGCGCGACAGCTGACGAGGGCTACAGCTCCTGCAGCTCCCCACCGCAGGTCTTCCCGTTGTAATCGACGCGAGCTGGGTCACCATTGGCTCTGACGGCGCCCTGCAACCCGATGATGCCATTGGCACCTGGCTCCCACAAGGCCGCAAACTCCTCGGAGTGGTCTGCGATCCAGGCAAAGTCGCTGGATCCGCAGTCGCAGTCGAGGAACGGAAGGCACTCGAAACTGGACTTGGCACGGTGGTGCTCTGCCCCCTTCCAGCGATTCCCCAAACTGGGGGGCTCCCCGGCGGCCTCCCGCGCGCGGAGAGCGCGCCAGCCTCGGCGGCGCTCTGCCGAACATGGGACACGCCGCGGGCTGCGACCAGCCCGATGTCTCCACTATCTGAAGGGAAATGATCAGTACACCTGCGGTACGGCTCATCATTGACCTCATCGAAGCACGGGGCATCTGGGTCCACGATGTCGCCGATGGGCCTGCAGAAGAGCCCCCGACAGGCCACCCTGCCACGCGGCCCCTCCCGGCGCACTCGAGTCCGCGGGCCTGGCCACAACGATCGCAACCAGGAAGGGGCGAGGTAGCGAGGCCGAGCCATGCAGAATGGTCACACCAAGGGCCTTCAGCCAGCCCGACTTAAGTACTGCTCCGAGCTGGGCTGGTGGAACGAAAGCTGCCTGGTCGAAGTCGCCCACAGCGGGTCGAAGCGCGCGTCGTCGAACGCCTGGCTGCTCCCGATGGCTGACACCTCGAATGGTAGGCTCCAGCCGTTGTCAATCCCACTGTGCTGCCGAAACTTGCCGATGCTGGGGCCACCAGCTGCGCTGAGAGGCACATCTTGCACGGGCACGGGGAAGGGCTCGACGAGTCGAGCTCATCGGCGATACAGCCAGGGCTTGCCTTCAGGAGCGAGGCGGCGAGCACGCGCAGGAACGTCTTCCATCACCTTCCCTTTGCCCTTGTCAAGGCCGACGGTGCCTGCTGTCTTCGGTCCTTCGGCAGCCACCTGCTCAGCTCCACTAGGCCCAGACACCGAAGCTCCAGCTCAAGGTGACGAAGCGGGTGCCGCCGCGCCGTCCTCAGTTTTGCGCTTCTTGCTCTCGAGCCTCGACTTGACCTTCTCGCGCTCTGCGCGCAGGCTGGTTGCGCGCTCCTTAACCTCTCCGTAGAGCTTGGTCGCAATACTTTTGACCGCCTCCGATGGTTGCCGCCATCGCGTCAGACTCCGCAGCGTCTTCATACTCAGCCGGAGCGAAGATGCCATCGCCAGCGGTGAAGGTGAGCTGCAGCTTGTCGTCCAGGATGTCTGCGGTGTCGATCGTGGCGCAGGGAGCGCCCAGCCTCCACCGCCATCACTTCATCATGCAGTTGGCCGGTGGCCTTCTTATATACTGTGTCCGCCTGCTCCAAGGCAGCCTGAGTCTCCTTGCACTTCTGAGCCTGCTCCCCAACTTTCGTGCGCCGGCCCTGGAAACTCTGCAAGTGGTCCCCGAGATGCTTCCCCAGGCGGAGTCTGCACGGGACTCGGGCGGCTCTTCTGGCTTAGGCATGCTAGCCTCCAGCGCCAGATCATACTGCCTTGCCAGTCCGACGTTCCCTTGCGGGCCAAGCTGATGACGCTCTCAACCTCCTGCCTGTGCATGTCAATGATTCATCATCATCCTCCTCCTCCTCCTCCTCCTCCTCATCCTCATCCTCATCCTCATCCTCATCCTCATCCTCATCCTCATCCTCATCCTCATCCTCATCCTCATCCTCATCCTCATCCTCATCATCCTCATCCTCATCCTCATCCTCATCCTCATCCTCATCCTCATCCTCATCCTCATCCTCATCCTCATCCTCATCCTCATCCTCATCCTCATCCCTCATCCTCATCCTCATCATCATCATCCATCATCATCATCATCATCATCATCATCATCATCATCATCATCAATCATCATCATCATCATCATCATCATCACATCATCATCATCACATCATCATCATCATTCATCATCATCATCATCTCATCATCATCGTCATCTTCTCTCCTCCCCCCCCCTCCTCCTCCTCCTCCTCCTCCTCCTCCTCCTCCTCCTTGTCCCCATCCTTCTCCTACTCCTCCTCCCCTTCCCCCCCCCCCCCCCCCCCTCCTCCTCCCCCCCTCCCCCTCCTCCTCCTCATCCTCCCCCCCCCCTCCCCCTTTCCCTCCCCCCTCTTCCTCCTCTTCCTCCTCCTTCTCCTGCTCCTCCTCCTCCTCGTCCTCCTCGTCCTCCTCCTCCTCCTCCTCGTCCCTCCTCCTCCTCCTCCTCCTCCTCCTTTTCCTCCTTCTCTCCTTTCCCTCCTCCTCCTCCTCCTCTTCCTCCTCCTCCTCCGCCTCCTCCTCCTCCTCCTCCTCCTCCTCCTACCCCCGCCTCCGCCGCCTCTCCTTCCCTCCCCTCCCCACGTTCCTCCTCCTGCTCCTCCTCGTCCTCCTCGTCCTCCTCGTCTCCTCCCTCGTCCTCGTCCTCGTCCTCGTCCGTCCTCCTTCTCGTCCTCCTCCTCCTCCTCCTCCTCCTCCTCCTCCTCCTCCTCCTCCTCCTCCTCGGGGAAGAGCAGAAGACAACCAGAAAGGAAACATGAAGGCGGGTGGGAAACGACTGACCGCGAGAGAGAGAGGGAGAGAAAGAGAAACAGATATAGAGAGAGAGAGAGAGAGAGAGAGAAAACGAGAGAGAGAGAGAGAGAGAGGGAGCGGGTGCCCCTTGTCCCTCCAAAAGAGGGCCTGACACCGCCAACGTTCCGCTGGGCTCCGCCGCCCCGCGCCCCGCGTTCCGCCTCCGAAGCCTTTGCGCGGCATCGGCGGCTGCGGCGCCGACGGCTGCGATCGCGGCGGCGGCGGCAGGGGCTGCCACCACGACGGCGAGGACCACCACGTCGAGAGAGGGCAGGCGGAGGGGGAGGGAGGGGGAGGGGGAGGGGGAGGGCGGAGGGGGAGGGGTAGGAGGATGGCGAAGGGGAGTGCGAGGGAGGGAAGGTTGGAAGGGAGGAGGAGACGGACCAATGCAAACCCAAGACGCAATAACGATGTTGCAGTGAACTCTGTCTCCAAGTTCCCTTTTTCCGTGGGCCCCTACAAGCATCTGATTCTCAGTGCGGGAAATGACCCAATGAAAGCAACCATCTGATAATCCTCAGTCGTGCCAAACAGCAATTCCTGGGACTTCAGCGCCGCGAATCAACGCGACTCTTGCGTCCTGACCATCTCAGAGGGCGCCAGAACACCATTCCTGGGACTGCAACATATCGAATTAACGTGATAGCTGCGTTCTGTCAACCCTAAGCCGCGCCAGAACACCATTTCTGGGACCTCAACCATACAACACCTTGAAACGGCTGCGAGGTTTTCAAACCAATGTCTGCGGCGCCAAGGCGAGAGCCACATTTTGAAAATGGAACCACCCTCCATCTGCGAAAATGCTGCAACTTCTACAGCGACTACGCACCACGCCCAAGCGGGAGCCCCACATTGAAGCCGCCCGCCCTCCATCCGCGAAGCTGATGCAATCTTTTAAAAAGGCATGCGCGCGGCGCTAAGACGAGAGCTACATATTGAAAAACACCAGCAGGATTGTGAAGACGAATGTGCACGGCGCTAAGGCCAGAACAACATTTTGAAAACGGCCCGCCTTCCACACGTGAAACTGTTGCAAATGTCACGAATCAGGATCATAAGCGCTGCCGAAGTCTCAGGCGAAACGCCGGGCCCGCCCTACCGACACGTGTGGGGTGGGGGGGGCGACAGGGAGGAGTTAGTGGTTAGGGAAAAGGTCCAAAGGCGATGAAGGAGAAGAAGGAGAAGGAGGAGGAAGGAGGGAGGAGGGAGGTGGAGGAGGAGGAGGAGGAGGAGGAGGAGGAGGAGAGAGGAGGAGGAGGAGGAGGGTAAAAAGGAGGGTGGGGGAGCAGGAGGAGGAGGAGGAGGCGGAGGAGGAGGATGAGGAGGAGGGGGAGGAGGAGGAGGAGGAGGGAGGAATAGAAGGGAGGACCAGGAGGGAGGAGATGAGGAACAAGAGCAGGAAGAGTTGGAGGAGCAGCCAAAGCAGGAGCCTCGAGGTGGCCGCCGCGCCTGCACAACCCGAAATCCAGAAGCTTCAGGTGGCCCGACCGGCTGAAGGCCACGTTGTCTGGCTTGACGTCGCGGTGAACCTGGGGAGGCCCGAGAGGAGGAGGAGGATGAGGAGGAAAAGGAGGAGGAGGAGGAGGAGAAGGATGAGGACCAGTGTAAACCCAAGACTCATCAACGATGTTGGAATAAAGTCTGCCTCCAAGCTCCCTCTTCATAGGCCTCATACACGGGTTGATCTCCACGGAAGGAAGTGCCTCGTTGGGGGACAATCGTTTGAAGATGCTGAAGCGTGCCCAAACGAATGTGCGCGGCGCTGAAGGGAGAGCCACATTTTGGAAGCGGCCCGCCCTCCATCTGTGAAACTCTGGCCAGCTTTTAAGCCTGAGGCGCATAGCTAAATGGTAAAAATATATCAGGCGAAACGCCCGTCCCGCCCTTCCAACCGGCCTCGGGGTGCGACATTGAGGAATTATTCCCAAAAGAGATGGAAGAGGAGAAGAGGAGGAGGAGGAGGAGGAGGAGGAGGAGGAGGAGGAGGAGGAGGAGGAGGACGGGGAGGAGGGTGAGGGACAGAGGGTGGGGCAGGACGGCGAGGACGGGGGGAAGGGGGGGGGGAGGGGGAGGGGGGGGAGGAGGGCGAGGGGAAAAGTGCGAGGAGGGTGTGAGGAGAACAATTGAGGAGGGCGAGAAGGGCGAGGAGGGAGGGGGGACGCTACCCCCGCCGAGCTGTCGCGCGCTCGACGTCGAGACGAGGCCTGCAGCGCTCACTGGGGGCCGCCTCCGCGGCCCGTGCCACTTCAGAGGCTCGGCAAGGGCAGCGCTGTCTTTGGGGGGGGGGACGCTGGGGGCGGGGACGTTTCGGGTTCGAGGTTCGGTTCGAACGGGTTCGAGGTTCGAGGTTTTCAAGCGTTTTTGTCGGGGGCCTGGCGGTTGTGTTGGTGTTGGTGCTCTCCGGGCCTCCAAAGCCTGGCCAGGCCCATCCTGGGTCCAGGACAGCTACTACCAGACCCGGGGCTGAAAGAGGAGCGAAGCCCTTTCTGGCCCCAAGAGCTGCCAAGGCGCACGAGGAGCGCTGGGGGAATTCGCCAGCCCAACGCGGGCGTGCTAAAAACTCGGGTGAAAGCCCCAGGAATACTTCTAGTTCGCGCGCGCGTGGCTGCTCCTGGGGGTCCCCGGGCGACAAGTACCCCATGCAGATCCTGGGCGGTCCCCGTCACGGATGCCAGAACGCCTGGGACTGCCTTCGAGGCCTTCAAGAGCGTCTCAAAAGGCCCCCAAGGCGGTCTAAGAGGGCCCGGAGTCAGCGGAAGTCGTTCCAAGACGCCCAAGATAGCGGCTTCAACCGCCTCCAAGACGCCCGAAGGGGGGGTCTTGCACGCGTCGTGGGCCGTCTGGGAGCCATCGTGGGTGTCTCGGACCGATCGTTCGACGAGCGCCACCTGGAGCGCTGCAAATTTCCCGAGTGATCGTTGTCAATGCGGTGCTGCTGGGTGGTGGGGTTGTTGATGATCGAAGACGCCCACGGCGAATCACCGCCGCCCCCTGCCTTTCTGGAAACGCCTGTGGCCGAAAGTTGGGCTAGAGCTTGGCCAAGCTATCGGACCATGTGTTCCCCGAGTCGGTCTGGAAAGCCTTTGGGGAACACGTGGGGAGAGAAAGAGGCAGTGGAGGAGAGGGAGGAACAAGGACGAGGCGGAGGAGGCCTCTTGGAAGCCTCTTGGGGCACTGTTGGGGCCTCCTGGGAGCTTCTGGGGGGCCTCTTGGAGGCCTCTTGGCGGCCTTCTTGGGCCTCTTGGGCGCCTTCGGGGGCTTCTTGAAAGCCTCTCTGCCCGTCTTAGGGCGTTCCTGGCCCGTCTGACGCCGTCGGAAGCCGTCTTGGGGACCTCTCTGAGCCGACTTGGGGCCGTCTTGGGGCGCTTCAGGGCCGTCTTGGAGGCCATCTTGGGCGTCTTGGAGGCCTCCCGTCTTGGGGCCCTCCCTCATTGGGCCTTCTTGGAGCCTCTTGAGCCGTCATGGGGCCATCTTGGAGGCCTCTTGGGCGATCTTTGGGCGATCTTGCGGGCCTCTTGGGCCGTCTTTGGCCGGCTTGGCCGTCTTAGCGGCCATTTTGGCAATCTTGGAGGTCGTCTAGGCCGTCTTGGAGGCATCTTGGAGGTCGTGTTTGGCGTCTTGGAGGGCTCTTGGGCCGTCTTGGGGCCCTCTTGGGGCTGGCTTGGGGGCCTCTTGGGCCGTTCAGGAATAATCTTGGAGGCTTCTGGGACGACTTTGGGGACTCCTTGGGGAGTCTTGGGCGGTCGGAACACGAAAACGAAGGAAAAGCCCAAACCCTTCAAAACCTAAGGAAAATGAATGATTGGTGCCTCGTCAGGCTTTCCTGGAGGACCTCTTGGAGGCCTCGTGGCTCTCGAAAGCCTCTGGGGCCGTCTTAAGCCATCTTGGACCCTCTTGGGCCGTCTTGGAGGCCATATTGGACCATCCTGGGCGAACTTGGAAGCCATCTTGGGTCATCTGGACCCTCTTGGAGGCCATCTTGAGCCGTATTGGAGGATTGTTTCCGGACGTTGAGGCCGTTTGCGCGCCTTCCGCGTGGCCAGCGCGCTGGGCCGAAGCCCCAGGGGGAATTTGCAAAAGAACCCAAACCGAAAAGGATGCAGCACGCGCGGCACCTCTGTGGCAAGCCAACAGGGGGGCGGCGGATCTATTGGAATCCCGCCACCTTGCCTGGGTGGTGGGTCGGAGGCCTCATGGATGTTGATTGGCCGAAAAAAAAAAATACCACAATCTTTCAAGAACCCGTGGGAAATCAATGATTTTGGCCTTTTCGGGCCTTCCTGGAGGCCCTCTTGGAGGCCTCTTGGGTCGTCTTGGGCCATCTTAGGGCCATGTTCGGCCGTCTTGGTGGGGGCCTCTGGGAGGCAGGCCTCTCGGGGGCCGTGTTGGGGCCTCTTGGGGCCCTCGTGGGGCTTCTTGAGGTGCCTCTTGGGGGCCCCTTGGGGGCCTCGAGCCTCTTGGGGCCTCCTGGGGGCCTGGGGCTGAAAGCTGGACTTTTCGGTTCCGGACCCCCTTCTTGAGCCCCTCTTGGGGCCGTTTTGGGGGCCCTCTTGGGCCGTCTTGGGCGCCTCCTGGTGCTCTCTTGGGCCGTCTTGGGGCCCTCTTGGGCACTCTGGGGCCCACCCTGGGGGCGTGTTGGGCTGTCTGGGGACGATGTTGGAGGCCTCTGGGGCACTCCTGGACGCTGTGAACCCCCGAACATCGCACATGCGAAAAAAATGTACGTCGTCCGCATGGAATGGAACAATTTTTGCTTGTTGGGGCCCTCTTGGAGAGGCTCTTGAGGCTCTCTTGGGGCCTTTTCGCTGCCTCTGGGGCCATCTGGAGAACACCTTGGGCGTCTTGGAACAATCTTTCGGCGACTCGGGGTCTCTTGGGCGGGCCGTGTAGGGGGCGTCCCGGCGCCCTCATGGCGCGCTCCTGGAGCGCCCGGGTATCGCCCGGGCATCGCCTGGGCATCGTCTGGGGTACTTTTCGTCCAGGGGTCCCCAGAAGCCTCCACGCGCGCGCGAACTAGAAACACTGTTAATGTGTCACAGGAGATCTTAGCACGCCTCTGGCCCGTTGGGCCAGCAACTTTCAGCATCTTGACTGCATCGGAAATGGGGGGGTGTAGAACAAATAGACCCCAACTGGGAATCCCACCAGCCCTTTGGGCGTGAGTGGTTTAGAGAGCCCGCTCTGTTCTCAACCCCCTTCTTCCCCTTCGGGGAGGGGTTTACCCCTCCCCCTACCCCCTCCCCCTGGGCCTGGAGAGGGCGCCCCGCGGGTGGTTGGAGGGGTCTTTTTCGACTCCTGGGAGGGCTAAAATTCGACACCCCTCACGAGGATTCTGCCCCCGACGGGGGGAGGCAGAAAAATGCTCGCCTCATCTGTGATCGATCGCCCGACAGATGGCCCCAAGATTCCTCCCAGACCCCTCCCAGAGAGCCCCACGAGGCCCCAAGAGGCCTCCAAGAGGCCCCCAAGATGCCCCCAAGAGGCCCCAAGAGGCCCCAAGAGGCTCCCCCGAGGCACCCAAGACGCTCCTGGAAGCCCATGGAGCCGCCAAGAGGCCCCCAAGACGACCAAACGGCCTCCAAGAGGCTCCCAAGAGGCCCGAAGAGGCTATCCCAAGGCACCCAAGACGCTCCTAGAAGCCCCTGGGGCCGCCAAGAGGCCCGAGACGCCCCAAGAGGCATCAAGAGGCCCCAAAACGGACTCACACCACGACGAGGGCCCCGAACGACTCACACCACGAGGAGCCTGAACGAGTCACACCAGGAGGAGGGGCCCGAACCGAAACGACAACGTCGACGACGAGGGGGCCCACGCCGACCGAACCGACAACTCACACCACGAGAAGCCCGAACGACTCACACCAGGACGAAGAGCCCGAACGACTCACATCACGAAGCAGCTAGCAAACCGAAAAGCTACCACAATCGCAACAGAAATGTAGCTCGAACTCCACATCGGTAAGTCGCCATCCAAATCGAACTGCCGTCGAAGTGCAGCTCGAATTGCATGTCGAACTGTAAATCCAAATGCAAATCGGATGTTAAAAGGAACTCGACATGTAAACCGACATGCGCATCGAACTGTACGCAGAAATGGCCACACACATACCTACAAGTCGATATGCAAGTCGAAATGGGCATCGAAATGCGAAGACAATGGCGATACAATAGCAATCGCGAAGCAACACGAACATCCAGTATAAAATAAACACGACATTGACATCGAAGTGCAAATCGTGGAAGTGCTGCGGTGACCAACACCAACTCACCAGGGCACTACATATATCTAGTGATATCCGTGAGATAGAGGGCCGATATATATAATGTGTGCGTGTGCGTGTTATCTGCATACACACACAGATCTGGGTACACGTAAGTGTACGTATGCATATGTACATGCTGAGACGTGTGGACTGTGATATCGGTGGGTGGATCCACCACCGTGCGGCTGGGCACGGAGTGGGCGTGTCCTCAGGCCCTTTTGCCCAATCCTCGAAGCCTCAACCCTCACTCTTCAGGAATCTTCAAGG